TTTCGGGTTACCATTTAAAAGATGTTTTCTAAGCTCATGTTCTGGGTAATTCTCTGCCATACCTACCACTCGTAGTCGAAGATGCACGCCAGCAATTTCTTTAACATCATAGGAGTCAGCCATTTTTTCTTGAACCAGTTTTCTAATTTTTTCAGTATCAGAGTGATTACAGCAACCGATAAGAATTCCTCCATCTTTAATAGTCTTAACCTTTGCCAATTGAAGATTTTCAGCTGTTGGATCAATATGACGCAAAATATCAGTCTTTGTTTTTGATATTTCCTGATTAGTTTTTGGACGAATAATTATAGCTGGGTTTGACTTATCTTTCAATATATCTGAATACTTCCGTTGTTCAAAAGTAGGCACGTTTGTGGCAGCCTTTACAACGTCACATTTCATAGATGTAACATGATTGTTTATTGTAGAAACAGCAGTATCTAGTTTAGTTTCGATAACTTTATGCAAACGATCTTCATCTTTAGAAGATTTACGACAAAGAATAGAGTATGAATGCCTACATTTAAATGCACACGTGTTCGGTAATGTCAGGGAGGCTTTTCAATCTAGGTTATACCATTGTATGGAAGTAAATGGTGGACATTTTGAACAATTTTTATAATAAATTTTGAAAATGAAATATTCGTTTTGTCATTGGAAACGCTTTTGACAAAATCATTAAAATAAAAGTTTTGCACAATTCAATTTTATTTTAACTTAAAATTCTGTAGATCGTAAACTAATTACTTTAATCCCCATGTTTTATACATTTTTGAAATCAGTTAAACGAGCGCAATCCAAAAATGGATAAAAAAATGGGGCAAGCCATTTAAAAAAATTGAAGGGATGATAGTAGGGGTAAAAGGGTGACTTTTTTAGCAAACTTAAATATGGCACGATATCTCCCCCTTCGAATATTAATTGACGTATTTTTTTGTTTTTTGTAATAATCAGTCCTTCAAAAGTTACTTAAGCTGGATACTTTGTAATGAAGTCAATTTTCATTACTATATTTCGGCCTATTCCGGATATAAATTTCAATTTTTATTTTTTATTTTATTTTAACTTCATGGGTAGACCCTGTATATCAAATTTTGTTTCATTTAAATTCGCGTATTATACCTGAGTAACGAAAGCGCGCGCGCTTCGCGCACATCGAGTGGGGAGCTAGCCTACTTGGGCATAGAGACTGGAATTCAGAATTCGGTATGAAAATTCATTCAATTGACTTTACTGATTCGACTAGCATCTGCTGCTTTTGCTCCGATATACGCCGCTGAAAATTATCGCCGAGTCCGTAGTTAGGTACACCGAATTTGTTTACATTTTTTTTTGTCGACGGTTCTTGAGTTAAAACGTTCGAATACCGGTTTCATTTGAAATCATTATTCCGTTTTCGATTTTATTTAATAGAAATAATAATTGATTTCAGATTTTCGTTAAAAATATTTTGATTTACAGATAAATTATTTAGTTTTGATTTTATTTAGAAACATTGGAAATTAGTTTTGGTTATTAGGAAATAGAAACTTTGTTTCTATTTTATTAATTAATTAATTTTATTACGACCGTGAATTGTGTTTCTATTTTATAGTAATAGTAAACCTAATTTCAAATTAAATTCCGTATACAGTTGATTAGTTAATTTTCATTGCGACCGTGGATTTTGTTCCTAATTTTTTTTAAGTAATAATAAATTTAAATTAAATTCCGTACATAGTTAATTACTTAACTTTTACTACGACCGTAAATTTTGTTTCTATTTATTCACAATCTGGTTTAACTTTTTTTTTTATTTATGTTTCTTTACTTGGGAATAGAATTAGTTCGAAAGTTGGAAAGTTGAAATAGTATCATTTTTCATGTCGAGTGGACTGGTTGTGGCGAGAAAGCTCACATGGGATTAGATACTATCCCGGTTTTAGATTTTATTTAGATTAACCCCTATCCGTGATTAACATATTAGTGTTTTTCTTATGTTTGAGAGGGCTGGTTTTGGCGAGTACACTCATCATAGGATAAATACTGATCCGGTTTGATATTTTGTTTTGTGTTTGAGTGGGCTGGTTGTGGCGAGTACACTCATCATAGGATTAAATACTAACCCGGATTTTGATTATTTTCTTTTAGTTACCTCCGCGCCGTGATTAAAATGATAGTATCATTTTTATGTTGAGCGTGCTGGTTGTGGCGAGTGCACTCCTCATAGGATTGATACTATCCCGTTTTCTTATCATTTATCTATTCCCCATTCACTAAAACAAGGAGGTTTGTTTCAGTTTCAATACCGACTAGAGAGTTAACCAGATAACTTTTTCTACGACCGTGATTTTAATTTTTTTTTTACAAAACAAAATATTTAACTTTAATCCTTATGCCGATTTAAGAGTTAACTAATTAACTATTGCTACGACCGCCATTATTTGTTTTTGGTTTCGTTTTGGCTCAACCACCGATCCGACAAATTTATTAATTAGATACTATTGCCACTGAGCATCTTTCTTCTAATTTTAATTCTACCGTCTGATTGAGACTAATCATTACTGGCCGATCTGTTTGTTTTTATTTATTTTGTTCAGGGTTTTAAAATTACGAGCGGGGGTGGGCGTTGAAATAATACTTAAATTTTTTTTATTGTAAATAGTTAAAAATTCAATATATGTGTCAACGTTACCTTGACTGTTACTGAAGTTACTGAACTTTAATTTACTTCCCCCTTTATTTCAGCAGTGAGAAATTCTTTATCACCACAAGCAACGATTAAAGCCCGTTACTTGTGGTTACTTATTACCTGTGTCTGAGTGACCAACGACCCCTGGAATTTTTCATCTCCAGGAGGCGAGAAAACCCCTTACAACTTTTATCTTTTTTCTCCACTGGAGTTTTTTTTCAGATTACTTACACAATCTCCTTAACTTTATAATGTTGTATTATGTACCCATAATATTTATTAATGTATATTGCGCATTCCATAATGGGCCCTGGTCGTTGGATGTATGATTAAATAAATAAATTTAAAATATCATAAAATTGTTACTTGAAACATACAGAATAACAATAAATACCTCCAAATAGCGCCAATCAGTGAATCCCAGCCACTTTTTTCACTTTCTGGTTCAGCTAAGAATTAACAATCGTCAGACAACAAAAATAAAACATATTATTTAAAACAACTGTATATTAAAGAAAAAAAGCGTGCATATTAATTAACAGTTCTTTACAATATTATAATAACATTAGATAACAAAAAATCAATGAATTTACTAACAATCCTGTAATATTAATTTTTTATCAATGTTGAACTTATTGAAACTGATTTGATCTTTTGTTTACACAAATTCTATTATTTTTTAAATAAATATCACTTCTTATTATTAACATTTAAAATCAATACAATACCGAAATAATTCACAGTTTGGTCATAACTAGGGATGGGCAAAATATTCGATTAATTTTTTTAAACAAAAATCGGTTTTTAAATTAATGGATTATTTTCCATTAATTGATTATTCTGCCTAAAATTATTTTGAAATATCTAAAAACGATTTGAAAATGTCGATGTCTAAAAATGTTTAAAGATGTTTAAAAATACTAGAGTTTAACAATTTCCAAGGATGTTTAAAGATGTCTAAAGATAATTTATTAGATATTTGTCCAAAGTTATTTTGAAATATCCAAATATGTCTTATAGAATCTTAATATCACTAAAAATTATTTAAAGATGTCCATGTATAAAGATATCCAAAGATGTCGGTGTCTAAAAATGTCTAGAGAAGTTTTGATATACCTAAAGAGTTTAAAGATTTCCAAGGATGTTTAAAGATGTCTACAGGTGTCTAAAAATGTCTAAAAAATACCTAAAAAGTCTAAGGGTGTTTAAATATGTCTAAAGATAGATTAATCAACTATCTAACATACTGTCTAAAAATGTCTGCCTAAAGTTGTTATTCAATATCCCAAAATTTCTAATAAAGTCTCAACTTCACTAAAAATGATACAAAAATGTCTAAAGATATCTAAAGATGTTTAAAGATGTATAAAAATAATCGATTAATTAAATAATAACAAATGATAAAAAATAATCGTTTGGAAATTTTCAAAAAATATACTACTAAAAATGATTCAAAAATGTTTAAAGATGTCTGAAAATATATAAATATTTTTAATAATGTCTACAAATTTCTAAAGAAGTTTAAATAAATCTCAAAATGTCTTGAGATGCCTAAAAATGTTTTAACATTTTTAAAGATATCTAAAGATTTCTAAAAATGTCTAAAGAAATCTAAAAATACCTACCTAAAAATGTTTAAAGATATCCAAAGATGTTTAAAAATATCTAAAAAGTGTCTAAGGATGTTTAAATCTACAGATCTCTGAAGATTAATTATATAATCGATTAATTAAATATTAAAAAAATAATCTATTGATCGAAAATATTCAATTAATCAAAAATAATTATTGAAAGTAATCGATTAATCAATAATAATTAATTAATTGAAAATTATCAATTAATCGAAAAAATCGAGTAATGAAAAAATCAATTAATCGTAAAAAGCCGATTAATTAAATAATCGAAAATAATCGTTTTGAAATATTTCTAAATATGTCTAAACAAGTTTAAAGAAATCTAAAAATGTTTTAAGATGTCTAAATGCGCCTAAAAATGGTTTAACATTTTTAAAGATGTCTAATGATTTCTAAATATGTCTAAAGAAATTTAAAAATGTTTAAAGATATCCAAAGATGTCTAAATATGTTTAAAAATGTCTAAGGACGTTGAAATGTTTAGACATTACAGATTTCTAAAGATTAATTAAATATTAAAAATAATCAATTATTCTAAAGTAATTGATTAATCGAAAATAATCGATTAATCAAAAATATTCGATTAATCGAGTAATCGAAAATAATCGATAATTCGAAAATAATCGATTAATCAAAAATATTCGATTAATAGAAAATAATCGATTAATCGAAAATAATCGATAATTCAAAAATAATCGATTAATCGAAAATAATCGATAATTCGAAAATAATTGATTATCGAAAATTATCGATTAATCAAAAATAATCTAGTAACGAAAAAAAAAATCGATTATTTATTTTTATAATCGCCCAGCCCTAGTCATGACATCGAACTTAACCACTCACGCAGTATATGGCATTTTTGATCAGTACATACCATAAAACCGAATGTGTAGCTAACGATTTAAATATCTAAAAGCGCTGGCTTGGTTTCTTTAGCACATTTGAGTATGGATTGCATAAATTTAACGAATCCAGTATCCTTTGGTTTTTCTAGACCTCTCAGTAACCGATTTTTCATTACAGCGATGAATTCTTTGTTACTCAACTGGCCATCCTCTGAAAAATAATGCACTAGTTAGTTTACGACGAATATAATAATTATTATATTTAAAAAATCGAAAATAATCGATTAATCAAAAATAATCGAATAATCGATTACTTGAAAATAATCGATTATTTTTAATCAATTATTTTGCACCCCTAGTTGCTACTTTGTATATCACTTACTTTTTTAATTTAAGAAAAGTAAAAAAAAACTATTTCGATAAATTAATTTTCGATTAATTAAAATAATCAATACATCAAATAAACAATTAATCAAAATAATCGAATAATCAAAATAATCGATTAATCAAAATAATCGATTAAACAAAATAATCGATCAATCAAAATGTTAGATTAATCGAAATAAATAATCGAATACTCGAAATAATCGATACAAAATATGATCGATTAAACGAGATATTCGATTAATTGATATAATCGATTAATATAAATAATCGATTAATCAAAAATAAAGAATAATCGAAAAAACTAGTGTGATTGGGTGTTTCGTTTATAAATTGTTTCTCAAAATAAATTAAAGTAAGCAAAAACTTAAATTTTAACATAATTTCAAAGTTTTTGCCTACAACACATTTTGTAAAAAAAATTTTTATATCTCTTTATAGTCGATTATTCAATTAAACGATAATTAGATTATTTTAATTAATCGAAAATAATCATTAACAATCAATTAATTGAAAATATTAGATTAATCTAAAATGAACGATTGATCGAAAATCATCAATTAATGGAAAACAATCAGTTAATCTAAAATAAACGAATATAAAAAATTAATCGACTAATCGATTAGTAATCTATTATTTTAAAATAATTGAATAATCCAAATTAATCGATTAATTGAATAATTAAAAATAATCGATTATTTTCAAATAGTCGATTATTTTAAATAATTGATAATCGATTATTTATTTTTAATTTACCCAGTTCTATCGATAATTTGATAGTAGAAAACGATTTAATAATCGAAAATAATCGGAAAAGCTAGTGATTGGGTGTTCCGTTTATAAATTGCTCCTCAAAATAAATAAAAATAAACAACTTAAATTTTAACATATTTTTTAAAGAAAGTTGTTTCCCACAATACATTTTTCAATGAAAATTAATTTTTTACATCTCCTTTAAAGTCGATTATTCGATTAAACGATCAATATATTATTTTAATTAATCGAAAATAATCGAATAACCGAAAACAATCGAATCATAAAAAATAATCAATTGAAAATATTTGATTAATCGAAAATAAACGATTGAATAAATCACGATTAATAGAAAATAATCGATCAATTGAATAATCCAAATTAATCGATTAATTGAATAGCTGAAAATAATTGAATATTTTCAATTGGTCGATTAATTTAAATAATTGATATTCAATTATTTATTTTGATATTCGCCCATGCCTATCGATAATTCCATAGTATAAATCGATCGATTATTTAAAAATAATCGAAAAAGCTAGTGTGATTGGGTTTATATATTGCTTCTCAAAATAAATAAAAATAAACAAAAACTTAAATTTTAACATATTTTTTAAAGAAAGTTGTTGCTCACAACACATTTTTTCGATCAAAATTATTTTTTTATTTCTTTTAAAAACAATTATTTGATTAAACGATCATTAGATTTTTGTAATTAATCGATTAATCAAAAATAATCATTTAATTGAAAATATTCGATTAATCAAAAATAAACGATTGATCGAAACTCATCGATTAATGGAAACGAATCGATTAATGGTAAAGAATCGGTTAATCGAAAATAAACGCTTATCGATTATAAAAAATGTATGTACTAATCGATTAGTAATCTATTCGAAAATAATCGATTAATTGAATAATCCAAATTCATAGATTAAATAATTAAAAATAATCGATTAAAAGTTGTTGCCTACAAGACATTTTTTGAATGAAAATTAATTTTTTGTATCTTTTAAAGTCAATTATTCGATTAAACGATCTTAGATTATCTTAATCGATTAATCGAAAGGAAAAATAATCCATTTATCGAAAACAATCAATTCATAAAAATTTATCGATTTATCGAAAATAATCGAGTATAATAAAAGAAGCTAATGTGATTGGGTATTTCGCCAATGTATTGATCGTATTTCATTATTCAAGTCGATTATTCGATTAAACGATCATTAGATTATTTTAATTAATCGAAAATGATCGATTAATCGAATATAATCGATTAATCAAAAATATTCGATTAATCGAAAATATTCGATTAATCGAAAATAATCGATTAAACGAAAATAATCGATTAAAAAATTGACTAATCAATTCCAAAATAATCGATTAATCGAAAATAATCGATTAATCGAAACTATAATCTAAAATAATCGATTATTCGAAAATAAACGATTATCAATTATTCTAAAATAATCGATTAATCAAAAATATTCGATTTATCGAAAATAATCAATTAATCGAAAATAATCGATTGAACGAAAATAATCGATTAATCGAAATTATAATCTAAAATAATTGATTATTCGAAAATAAACGATTATCAATAAAAAATAGACTAATCAATTATTTGAAAATAATCGATTAATTGAATATAATCGATTAATCGAAAATCATTTAATCGAAAATAATCGATTAATCGAAAATAATCGATTAAACGAAAATAAATGATTAGTTGAAAATAATCGATTAATCGAAACTATAATAGAAAATGATCGATTATTGGAAAATAAACGATTATCAATTAAAAAGTCGACTAACCAATTATTCGAAAATAATCGATTAATTGAATAATCCAAATTAATCGATTCATTGAAAATAATCTATTAAAAGTTGTTGCTCACAAGACATTTTTTGAAAGAAAATTAATTTTTTGTATCTTTTAAAGTCAATTATTCGATTAAACGATCTTAGATTATTTTAATCGATTAATCGAAATGAAAAATAATCGAAAACAATTCATCAAAAATATTTGATTAATTAAAAAGTCCAAATTTATCCATTAATTGAGTAATCGATTATTTTCAATTAGTCTATTATTTTAAATAATCGATGATCGATTATTTTGATAATCGTCCAGTCCTATCGATAATTCGACAGTATAAAACGATCGTTGATTATCTTAAGAAATTGAGTTAAATATTTACTAATAATAGATAAATTATGAACAAAATATGAATTAATCAAATAATCGACAATCCGATTATTTTGAAATAATCAATTTAGTGATTAGTCGAAAATAATCGACTTTCTATTATTTAAAAATAACTTATTAATAGAAAATATTCGATTTCTCGTTCAATCGAATAATCGAGAACAATTGATTAGGCAAAAATAATTGAATAATCGAAAATAATCGATTAATTAATTAATCGATTATTGATTTTGATAAATGCACAGCCCTATTCACCGTTAATAGTAAGAAAACCGAAAATTATTATTAAAATTACCTAAAATCAATTCAAGTATAAATGTTAAGGTAAATAAATGATAAGCTGTTGCCTAGAAAGTTTAAGTGACGAGTTCTCGCGCGAAACGTCCGGGGTTCAAATCCGTATTAAACCCAATTTTTTTATATACAGTGTATCGTAAATATACCGATAAACTTTGAGGGGATGGTAGGAGATAACAAAATATATATGTCCGAGATATAGGGTGTAAAAGTTGAAAAAGAAAAATAGATATTTTTTAATCAATATCTTGAAAACGTTTTAACCGATATCATTGAAATTTTCAGTTTATTGAGGTCTTGATTGATGTATCTTTTGGACTTATTCGCCTTTATCCGAAATTTCCACGGAACAATCTATTACCTTTTTATTGAAAAAGATTATCACAACTTTTTGTCACAACCTTTTGTCTCCTTTATTTTTTTTTTCGTATCTCGCTTCGTTTTCGTTTTGAGTTTTATTTTCAGTTGCTGCAAAGAGCAGGAGTACCGACACTTGGGAGTGGGAACTTTTTAAAGACCGTGGGAACTAACCTAATGCGTGGGTGCCTTCTCCTTCCATCTGTCTGTCCGTTTTTGTCCACTTCAGGTCCTTTTGGAAATGCTACTGCGCATGATTTTTTTCTTCAACGTTAATCTATATCAAGTTCTCTACATAATTCCGTTTTTCCCGTTTGAATTGGACTAGTAATAACGGAAATTGAAGCTTAGGCCCTTCCGGCTTTCATTCTACGCATGATTTTTCTGTTCAACGTTAATCTATACCGCGTTTTCTACATAATGCCGTTTTTCCCGTTTGAATCGGACCAGTTATATCCGAGAAACACGCTAAGGCCCTTCTGACTTTTCGTTCTGCGCATGATTTTTCTGTTCGACGTTAATATAAATTTAATCCCCCACTCCCACGTTACACGATCCACCCACGCATTAGGTTAGTTCCCACGGTCTTTAAACAGTTCCCACTCCCAAGTGTCGGTACTCCTGCTGCAAAGACGTGCAAAAGTTTGGATATTATTTTTTTTTCTAGAAAATATCAAGGGACAAAAAGTTGTATTTTTAGTTGCGTTATTATTTTTCGACAAAATCCCAGTATTTCTGAAATTAACCGTATTCGAACATATATTTATTAACCAAAACATATTTATTTTAATGTAAGGACCTTTAAATAGACATTGAAATTTTGCACATTTCTATTTTTACAGTTCGGAAAAATGAAAGAATTACTTTTCAAAAGAAAAAAAGAACTCATCACTATAAGTATCCAATAATTTTTTTCTCAATAATGTAAGGATCTTTAAATGGTAACTGAACTTTCGCACATCAATTATTTTGTCGGTTCGAAACTTTTAAAAACATTCAAAATAGATACTTACGATTTTCGTCGAAAATTGTGAAGACGACGTGTATAACGTGATCGCTGAGATCGACGTGGGCAACAGTTTTGGCAACATGTTTGAGAGTTTGTTGGTCTATCGAAGCACCGGCTATGTGGTAAAAAGTTAAGGCTGTATCAACGTCGTTTATGTTATTTAAAAAGTGGAAGAAGTTTAAATAGTCGTCTCTAGATATTCCTTGGCCGTGATCTCTAAAACTATATAAAAGAAAAGTGTTAATGATAATGTTGAGTAACAAGGTTGAATATAAAGAAATAAATGAATATATATTTGAAAATGTCAACAAAACTGTTAAAATTAACGTGTTTTAACAAGCTAAACTTTCAGAAAATATTCTATGAATTGTTTAATCAACATAATTATAACTGCAGACTGGTAAAAGGTTGCGATTCAAAAGAAAAGTTTCTTCCTAAGATTTCTGTACGTTAATATATAACAACTATATAACAATAATATATCAACTAATGAACTATTTCTACCTGCTTTCACTCTCAATCATTATTTGTTTGAGTATATACAAGATACTTTCTTAGTTTATCCTAGAAAATACCTGTTAGGGTCGATGCTCACGAACGTTTTTTAGCAGTCGCGTTAACATCACGTTGAGTAACGGTTGAGTGCCTAATAAGCGCGTCTTCTGGTGGTGGATGGGAGAACGGCCAGGATTTTCTTGGTTAGTGGTAGATATAAGTAGAGTGAGAGAGCCTAAAAACTCTCAAAATCTTTTCGAAGTCTACCGTCGCGAACCAACACCCCCAGTCTAAGGTGGCGACAGATGAATTGTCACAGGAATAGATGCGACATCGAACGTTCCCTTAGGGGCACCGGGCGACACCCCGCAAGTAACCAGCTTTCTCCTGATAATGCGGGGCTCTGTCAGGAGTGACGAATCTTTCCCTAGCTACTCGTGGGACTTACATGGACAATACGGACAACGAACCAAAATACAAAAAAAAATCGGGAGCTTTCAGGCGAAAGCGGACGAGCCTCCGACTAAACACAGGTACTAGCAGGACCTTTGGACAGGAGGGACAGGGCGGCTCATCCTCTGCATCATTGGATGTGGGGAGCGTGGCTGGACCCAGTTCTTCCGGTACAGGGCGGACCACTATGCCAGTGAATGCTGGACCAGGGGAACGGGGGCAAGCATCTCGTCCTTTCTCTACGGAGATGGGACGGAACGCGAGTCCTAGTACCTCAATGATGACAAAACAAAAAGGCATAGCTAAGGCTGTGTCCAGCGAGCAGGGACGAACCGGGACTCAAAAGAGAAACCGGTCCGATGCCAGCACGCCGGATAAAAGTAAAACAAAAAGGGCTAAGGATGCGAGAGCTGCGGGTTCGGGATCAACTAATGTGGAGCCAGATGGGACCAAGCCAGTAGCATCGTGTTCTTATGCCTCTAAGGTAAGCAATATTGAGGAAGCCATTGTATCAATAGACTATCCCAATAATATACTACCAACGGAGCAGGAAGACCTAATAAGGACTGCACTGCTCGACAGGCTTGAAGAACTAGACGAAGAAGGACTTTCACCCAGGTTCTTCGAAGCTAGAATAAGAAACGGGAGTTTAAACCTTTCCTGCGTTGATCAAGCAACGAGAGATTGGGTTGAGCAGACCGTCAAAAGCATGGTACCTTGGGATGGTGCTAAACTCAAAGTCGTAGACCCTGGGGAAGTAATGAAACCCAAGTATACCATGACATGGATACCGGGACCAGCAGTGGAACCGGACAGAATAATGAAGATACCAAGAATCCAAAATTCGGGGTCCAAGCGAAGAAACGGAGGGTTACTGAAAGGAAGTTGGAGTCTAGGGAACAGCAACTTTTCATAACCATGGATTTTGTCTCTTGGGAGAAGATAGAGGAGACTGTTTCTAAAAAGAGATTGGAAGAAAGACAGAACGGGCTACTCCTGCTGCTCCTGAAACTTCTCAGGAAAAAGAAACGCCTACTGAGGTAGAAGAAAACATACCAGAAGAAAATCAGTCCTTGGTCGTAGAACCACAAGAAAGTGGGGATACAGAACAAGAGGCTGAGGCTTCAATGGGAATAGGGGACTCGGAATCTACATCACCTCAGCTAGGTGAAGACGAGGAGAGAACTCTTTTAGGGGACTAACCTCTGTCTGACCCGGTTGACGTACCGGAGGAGGAAGAGGACCCTACATCAAAAACTAGGGGGTGCCTTTTAAAAAAAAATGAAGGTAATCCAAGCAAATATACATCACTGTTAAGCGGCAACAGCTGTCCTACAACGATGTATAATAAAACAAGACAAACATCTTGCTCTAATCCAAAAACCTCTTATATACAAGGGGCGAATTAGAGGGTTGCATTTATCAGGGGACTATGACATGATTCATTCAACGTCTGAACATACAAGAACCTGCATTATTGCAAATAAAAGCTTGAAGGTGTTTTCACTATGGGAATTTTATACAAATTACCTAGTCACAATATCCCTAAAGCTAAACGGAGGAACTAATCTGATTGTTGGATCCGTATATCTGCCATATGACCAACTTGGGCTCCCCCCACCAAGAAGGTGAGAGAACTGGTTAGTCACTGTGAAAAAAATAAAATCGAACTTCTAGGGTGTAATGCCAGTGCTCACCATATAGTATGGGGGAGCACTGACATTAATAACCGAGAAGCTCTTCTAGAATTTATTGCTTCCAATAAACTAGAAGTTGATATAATCCTTGGTACATAACGGGCGTGTTCATTGGTGGGGAAGTGGCACGTCTCGAAAGAAGCGTCACTTTCCGACCATAGGTATATCCTGTTTAATCTGGGTAAAAAAACCTCGGGTGAGAAGACATATCGTAATCCTAGGATCTGCAACTGGGAGGCTTTCAAGGAAGAACTCAAACAGGGACTGGAGGACTGCCCTTTAAAAATTAGGAAAGAGGATCGAGACGCTGTAAGGTGGCATCGAGACCTTTCCAAAAAAAGAGCAGAAGTTCGTTAACTCTTTAATCTGTCCAAAAGGTCGGGGAACTGGTAAGCCTATAAGGCGTACCGTAGAGAATATGGCTATGCTATTAGGAAAGCCAAGAAAATTCCTGGAAGACATTCTGTGACGGCATTCAAAGCCTTCCAGGATGTCCAGACTCAGGAAAACTCTACAGGGAGATAAGCAAGGATGCATGTGGGATCTCTGAAAAATCAACAAGGAGAACTAACAAAAACAGGAGACTTTAGATTTACTACTAAAATCACACTTTTCTGGATGTGAGATTATTCTTGACCAAGATAACAGAGTAAATAGTAAATAGAACAAAACTTGTGTGGGCGATAAATTCCTTTCAACCATACAAAGCAGCTGGATCCCAGCACTTCTACAAAAGGGCCAGGAAGTACTGGAGGGACCACTGTGTAAACTATTCCGAGCTAGCATAGCCTTGGAATACGTTCCACAAAACTGGAGGTGTGCAAGAGTTGTCTTCATTCCCAAACCCGGGAAAGCGTCTTACGAGGAGACCAATCAGCCTAAAAACATTGGAGAAATTGATTGATATATACGGGACGATGTTCTACGGGATAAACCGATACATCGATACCAGTTTGCCTATCAATTTGGAAAGTCTTGCGATGCAGTCATACATAAGCTAGCTCAACAGGCTGAATAAGCATTGAAAAGCAAATAAATAGCACTAGGAGTCTTCCTAGATATAGAAGGAGCCTTTGATTCGGCTTTATACGATTCAATACTGGGATCTATGCATTGGCGTGGAGTAGCCCACTGCATTACGAATTGGGTTGATTTCATGCTTAATAATAGAACCATCACCAGTAATCTCAATACAAGAGAGGGCTCAGTTAACAAGGGATGTCCGCAGGGAGGAGTGTTATCTCTTCTTATGTGCACCTTGGTGGTTGACGACCTCTTATAGGAGCTAGAGAGAGAAAACTTATACACGCAAACATTTGCAGACGACATAAGCATCGTAGTAAACGGTAAATTTGGGACAGTACTAAGAATGCCATTATTCACGACTTCGGGAAACCTTTCGATATTCAAATACCAGAAAGGGCCAAAAGCCGGGCAAATAGGGAAAAACGAAACGAATCAATCTGGTATACAGACGGTTCTAAAATGAAAAACAGCACAGGAGCTGGAATCTACCATGTGAACCATTAGTCTGAACCTGGGGTCACTGACAACAGTCTTACAGGCTGAAGTAACAGCAATAAATGCCTGCGCCTAAATGACTCTTTTAGAGATAAGAGGGTCTTTATCATAATAGACAGCCCTTAAAGCACTGAAAAGGGTAGAAGTACAATCTAAAATAATACTTGATTGCCAACAGTCCCTCCAGGCACTGGCAGAACAAAACAAGGTCACCCTTGAATGGGTGCCAGGACATGAGGGAGTGTTTGGAAACGAGAAAGCAGACCTCCTAGTAAGGACCAGAACCCACATGTGGTATCTCATACCAACATGTTAAATGAGCGTTAAAGGAACAAACAAATGGAGAACGCCATAGGCTCTGATTGGAACTTCCTGGACTTAAGACAGTCCAAAAGATTCATAGAGGGGCCATCTACGAGCAGACAAAATCAACTGCTAAACCTTAGCAAAAGCGAACTCAAGGCCGTAATAGGACTCTTTACGGGACACTGCGGCCTTAGAAGACACCTAAATCTCTTAGAAATATCTGATGACTCTCTATGTAGAATATGTGAAGAGGAGGACGAAACTCCTATTCACATACTATGCCACTGTCGGAACCTTAAATGGGAACGGGAATGGTACTTCGGGGTACAATATTCGGAACCTGAAGAAATTGCGAAAGTGCCCATCAAAAATATTCTTGAATTCATCAAGGGAATCATTCTGATGGGATAGAAACTGTGAGAGGTACAATAAGCTTTGAACTGTTGAAGATTTATAGTGGAGACTTCAGATTCTGGCAAAACTAATAAATATAATAGCGATTTAGATCTATCTTTATTAATCAAAAATACATCAAACTTGTAGCCATGAACATAAAACCGCGAACTGATAAATGAACCGGATTGCTCGCTTGCCACAATTGTTCAGGCCTTAGAAAGAAAGTACACAACTGGCCTTTTACTTTTAAAAACAAACAGAAACATGAAAACATGAACCACGCCCTAATTCAGATAGATAAATATATAGAACAGTAGATCCTTTTGGTGGATATTTAAATTGGTACAGGGTCCAGCACGTCTCAAAAATTATTCTAAAATACTTTTACTTACGTTTTTTTCACCCTCTTCAGCATTCTAGCTTTTTTCTTCTGCGGATAACCGGCGTAAGCCAAAAGGAGTTCCGTGAAATCGGCTTCGGAAATATTTCCGTTTTCGTTCGGCGCCTTCCGTTGAAATTCCAAACTCAAAATTTCCTTCTGTAATTTTTCTTGAAACTCCAAAAATTTTTCGATGGTTAATTTTTGCTTCAGGCTCGGCCCAAAAAAGAAGGTTGTTAAGGCAGAATTGACACCCTATAAAAATTTATAAAGTGATATATTTTAAATAGTTTTTTTTTAAAATTTTATCTTACTTTGAAAGTGTTTCCGGTATTGGCATGATCTCGGTGTCTTGAGCCAATGCTGGTTTGTTGCCTTATGAGAGTGGCTACTTTTTCGAATTCTTCACAGTCTACGTCACCGTCTCCGTTGAGATCGAACATACGGAAAGCAATTTCGAAGTGACGTCTTGACGCTAAAGAATATTATTTAATAGTTTAATATTTCTACTTTTATCTTGTACCGGGTGTTCCATTAAGAGAGGTAGCCAGCTATATTTCAGAAACTAATAATAGTACAGCTTTGGGGAAAAATATTTTCAATAAAAACGAAGAGAAATTGCCGGAAATTATTTTCAAGTTTGTAGGGTGGCCGCTAGGGGGCGTAATTATGACGTCAAAACATAAAAATATAATTTTCTCAAAAAAATACCAAGTAAAGTATATTGATAAATATTACTATTTTAATCTTCAATGTTTTCTGAACAAAAAAGCTATAGGTGTAATTTTTGTCAGTTGTGAAATAGAGTGGTGGGGGAAGGTTCAACTTTAATTTGGAAAAATGCTCATAACTCCGGTTTGGCTTTACCGAATTTAGTGAACTTGGTTTCGTTTAGAAGAGCTTTTTCAGCCTCATTTTTAGCTTTATAAACTGTGGATGCTTACGTTTTATGAATGCCGCTAGAGGGCGTTAAGTTAAAAATGAAAAATTTTACGAAATTTTTCGAAAAATTTAAATAAACGATATATATCTTTTTACATAGTTAGATAGAGAAAAAAAAATACGTGTGGCACTCGAGGACTGCCGCGATAAAGCTGTTGCATAGCATTTTTTATCAACATATACAATTATAATTATGAATTTATTTTATTTATGAAAAATCGAAAAATTGAAAAATCAAAAAATCGAAAAATAAAAAAAAAGGAAAAATCGAAATATCGAAAAACCGAAAAATCAAATAATTGAAAAAAAATTCCGTAACGAAAATAAACCTAACACCCCTCACTTCGACCGGCACAGCGGTGCGGCGTTGAAAGCTGTGCATCGTCTAACGTCGTTTCAGTTCGGCAGACTTCGGCACGGTATTTGTGTGCGTGCAACTAGACGTATGCGTGTAGACTAGCTGCTAACTGCTCATAACTGATTCTATCTCTTTTAGACACAATTTCGGAAAAATTGAATTTGAAAATGAATAATGATCCACAAGAATCCACAACAAAATATGGGATCACCATTGACGCGGTATTTTCCATATATTTAGAGAATATCAAGTCTCAAACTTATGTTTCTTATTTTAGTTACCATAAACCTATAGTTTCAATGATAAAAATTCCTGAATAACCTACATGTATTGTAAGATAATAAAAATATTTTAAACAATATTAACTTCTCATTTATTCAATAAAAGAAACAAATTTGTTTTCTTATCGGTCACCACGCTCAAAAACAGATTATTTTCGATTAATCAATTGATTTAGAATATTCGATTAACCGACAGATCAATCAAATTCAATTAATAGGATATTTTCAAATATTCAATAGCAAATTTATTATTTCCAATTAATCATTATTGATTATGTCCGAATAATCAGATTATCGATACCTAAATTATTCGATATATCGATTTTATTTAATTGATTTTTAATTTAATATTCGACTAATCGATTTTTCAAAAAAAAAAATCGATTGCTAATCGATTACTTTACCCATCCCTAGCTATAACCGACAAAGACGAGACATATGAGTCATGTACAACCCATAGCTCTAAATTAAATCCAATCTAACATTTAAAAAGAATAAATTTATTGTGACACGTGATTTTTTCCAAGGCCTACTTAACAAACATTTTTTTATCATTCTACATTATGCTAAATTAATTTCAGTTGCAAAACACAACGCCATCTCTTCTCCTATGTGCAATTACCAGTTTTTTTATTGTTTTGTTTTCACCCATGCAACATTGACAATTTATGAAATATCCTTTGACATCTTATAGTATTTAAAATATATAAAATATTGCATGAAATATACTTACTTGATAAAACAGTCAACAGAAAAATATAATCTGAGAAAGTGATCAAACCGGAACTCCCCAATTTGTAGAAAATACTATCCTCGTCTAGAGTTAGTTCCAATTTTTGATGCACCGTCTAATTACAAAACATTTAATAAATATTTGTTAAAAAAAAAAAGGAAAAAAGAATTTAAATTTACAATTTTTGTTTTTAAAAAGTTATTATTTGCGATGCTATTTTAATGGTTCGATGTCTATATTGACACAATCATGGAAAATATCAGAAAGGGGAGGGGGAAAGAGGTGATAGTCGTGGGTAGAGTTACCGTATTCAAAAATACAATTTCCTGAGGTTACTAATAAAAATTCGGACAAAATAATACAACTCCGGATAAAATAATAAAACTCCGGACAAAATGATAAAAGTCCGGACAAAATATTAAAAAAAAGTTTCTACAGTAAAAAACTAAAAACAAAAACAGTTCCTCAATTAAAAATTCGTATAATTAAACATCACTTAAGTTGGAACCATATGGAAAACTTTTTTATTACTGGTTTGGTCTCGGGTTTGGTGAAAAAAATTATTCTAGATAAAAAGCTCTGCATTGTCCAAAACTTAAAATGCAACCATAATATATTAATTTTTTTAAGCCGTATACGAGGTTTGTCAACAAATATTATTTTTGCTGAAGAGTAGAGTACCTTTATTTTTGACAAACCTCGTATACGACTTATAAAATTTGATATTCGATGGTTGTATTTTAGGTTTTAGACCATGCTCGACTTTTAATAAAGATTAATTTTTACTTTCCTATCTGTATATAGATATAAGGAAAGTATAGGAATCATGATTTTTTTCGACCTCGAGTTTTCGACGGATTTTTACGTTTTGAGGTCCCCTGAATCCGTTTTGACTATTTTCGCGATGATGTCTGTGTGTGTGTCGCATAACTCATGAACCCATAAACAGAAAAACACCAAATTTTAAACTTAAGCTTTGTTCCAGCGTCCAATGCACTGATTAGATTTTGGGCAGAGTCGGAACATCTGGGGGGGTACTTTATAGGAGGTCATTTTTATATTTTATGGAATATATCTGTTATTTACGTTTGGGGAAGAAAATTCTTTATATAAAAGTTACTTCTTATATTATTATCTATAATTTTTGTTCCATACAAAATTTTCCTAAAATGGTCCGTATTCGAGAAATTTGACAAAATGTAAAAAAATATTTTTTTATAAAAATTGTTCAAACAAAAGTTGTTTGTAATATAATTCTCTATAATTTTTATCCTATACATAATTTCTCTAAAATGAAATGGACCGTATTCAAGATATTTGAGAAAATGTGTAAATTTCGAATTTTGAAGAAAACTCAAAAACGGATAAAGAAAAAACATTAAATTTTAAACTTACGTTTTATTTCGGCCTGACGTGAAATGATTAGACTTTGGACAAACTCGGAACATCTGGGGGGGGGGGGGGGGGGGTACTTTATGGGAGGCCGTTTTTATATTTTATGGAATATATCTGTCATTTATGTTTGGAGAAAAAAATTGTTCAAATAAAAGTTACTTCTAATATTATTATCTATAATTTTTGCTTTATGTAAAAATTTCCTGAAATGGTCCGTATTCGAGAAATTTGACAAAATGTGCAAAATGCTGATTTTTATGAAAATTGTTAAAATAAAAGTTGTTTGCGATATCGATCTCTATAATTTTTGTTTATACATAATTTTTCTAAAATGGACCGTAATGGAAAAATCGTAATATTAATAATAAAAAAGTAGGCAGAAACTTTTTATCAGAAATAATTTTTTTTACCAAACCAATAATAAAAAAGTTTTCCATATGGTTCCAACTTAAGTGGACACATTGTATAATACAAAGAGCATACACAAACACAACTACACAAGACAACAACCGACCTTTAAATATTTACATAAAATATAAACTATAAAAAAATAAAAGAAAAGTTAATTTCAACTTCATAAAGAACTGTTTATACTTTATTTTAAATATACCCTAATACGTTTGACGATTTTCTTGAAAATTCCGGACAATTTATAATACTCAGCGAATTCCGGACAAAATTACAAAATTGCTGACATATTCGGACTTTTCTTGATGCCTGGTAACCCTAGTCGTGGGGAACTTCAACTCTATATCACCTCTTTGGGGTTCAAGAATTCTTAACGCACGTGGGGATACGTGGAGAAATGGCTACATTCACTGGATCTAACTATAAGAAATGACGTACGCAGATGGAGCAACGAAAGGTCAGCTCTGGATATTAACATGAAGGAAATGAGACCAAACGAATTGATAAAATACGTGATAGGTGAAGAAGAACAGTGAAGAAAAGGAACATCGTTTTATTATCGAAGTTTTTAAGCAGGAAGAGACAGACGAAAGAAGTCCTAGAATTTGAAAAAAGTTATACCGCTATCATGGCCGACTAGAGGGGGGGTAGCCGGGACTAATTCCCGGAGCCTGGGCTTAAATTGGGGCCCAACCGCGCTGTAAGGGGGGCCCGGCAACAGGTTTTTTTGTTCTGCATGAGAAATTCGACACAAGATGAGAGAGGGAAGTTAAGTTTAAATTAAAATTAAATACAAGTAGAGGAAAAGTTTTAGCCTAGTGAAGTTTTTTTTCAGAAGAAGTAATTGAAAGGTAGAATAGTTTTTTAATGTGAACACTTTTTTTTTTTAGAAGAAGAAGTAATTGAAGTAGTAAGAATAGTTTTTTGATGTGAGGACTTTGTTTTTTTTTTTAGAAGAAGAAGTACGAGGTAAGTGCCAATAATTCCCGGCATGACATAGTTGCAGATATTTTAAAGTTTAACATTTTATAACTACAAACCTTAGTAGGCTGTGGTAACAAAATAAGCGACTTACGTCAAATAGTTTTTAATTGTCAGCATTTTGAACTAAAGTATCTCCGAAAATGTCTCAGGTGACAAAAATTGAGTACAGAGCGGTTATTAAATTTTTAACAAAAGAAGGGCTTACACCTAAAATTATTAAAGAAAGACTTGATGGCGTATATGGCCAAAGTTCCCCTTCCTATTCGGTAGTGAAAGACCTAGACGGCCAGTGGAGGTGATAACGGAAGACAAAGTGGCCCTTGTGGAAAACCTGGTGCTAAGTGACCGACGTTTGAAGGTCAAGGAAATGGCAGAAATTACCAAGCTTTCTAATACCACTGTTCGCCGAATACTCCATGATCATTTGGGTATGCATAAGGTTAGTGCAAGATGGGTGCCCAAACACCTTTCGGCGATTCAGAAGCAACGTCGTGTCGAGTGTGCTCGATCGTTTTTGGAATTTTGTGGAGATGATTCGAACCCCGTGTTGGAAACAATAGTCACTGGAGATGAAACTATGGTTCTTTATTATGATCCTCTGTCGAAAAGGGAATCAATGGAGTGGCGCCGTAAGGGTGAAGCCCACCACGAAAATTTAGAGTCTGCCAATCAACGAAAAAGGTGATGGCTACGATCTTTTGGGATTGTGAAGAAATCCTTCTGATTGATTTTAAAGAGACAAATACCACCGTTAATGGCACATATTATGCCGCATTACTTCATAAGTTGCGGGAATGTATTCGAGAAAAACGTCGAGGAAAATTAACCAGAGGCGTGCGGTTGTTGCACGACAATGCGTCCGTTCATACTGCTGGCGTTACACAAGCTGCCATCCTAGATTGGGGGTTTCAAAATATAAAGGGTTTTCCAATAAGAGGTGTTATTTTGAATAGCCCGCTATTTCGGTAGATGTCACTTTTGGAGTTGTCATGTTTTGACATTTGACAAGTAGAAACTACGCCATTAATAAAAATGGAACGATACACGCTTCAACAACGCATTGAAATTATTAAAATTCACTATAAAAATGGTGAAAATTTGGCGGAGACGGTTCATAAAACTCGAACATTTTTGGGTCGTCGTGAAGCACCTTGTCGGATCGCAATACAGAAATTGGTGGAAAAATTCGAGCTGTTGGGACAAGTTAGTGATGTGAAGAATAAAACCCGTGCACGTCGCTCAAGAACAGCCGAGAATATTGCTGCTGTAGCCGAAAGTGTTGAAGAAAACCCAGGTTTGTCCATTCCTCGTCGTTCTTTGGAATTACGCATTCCAAAAACGTCATAACACCGTATTTTGCATAAAGATTTGGGTCTTAAGGCCTATAAAGTTCAGTTAAAACAAGAACTCAAGCCGGCCGATCATCAACAACGTCGTGTCTTTGCCGATTGGGTCCTTGAGATGCATGAAAATGATCCGGAATTCCATCGAAAAATCATCTTGAGTGATGAGGCCCATTTTCACCTCGGTGGCTTCGTCAACAAGCAAAATTGTCGCATCTGGGGCTTGGAAAACCCAAGAGTTATTGTTGAAAAGCCTCTCTATCCTCAACGTGTGACTGTTTGGTGCGGTTTATGGTCCGGCGGGGTCATTGGACCTTACTTTTTCGAAAATGAGGCTGGAGCACCAGTTACGGTGAATGGATTGCGCTATCGAGAGATGATTAATGATTTTTTATGGCCGGAATTGGATGGTATTGATCTGGACAACGTTTACTTTCAACAAGACGGCGCTACGTGCCACACAAGCAACGAAACCATTGATCTTTTACGGGAAACGTTTCCGGACCGTGTTATCTCTCGAAATTGGCCACCGAGATCTTGTGATTTGACACCTTGCGACTTCTTCCTTTGGGGCCACGTGAAAGAGAAGGTCTACGCCAACAGCCCAGCGTCGATTCAAGACCTCAAAGATGGAATTCGTGAGGCTATCGAGGACATAGGGCAGCCACTTTGCGATTTGGTTATGGAAAATTTCATGAAAAGGATATGGTCCTGCAGGCGTGGTCGTGGTGGTCATTTGGCTGATGTTATTTTCCATTATTAACGGCATACCTTCCTCTTTATAATGAAATAAACATCCGATCATTTATCTCAAAAAATGGCATTTTCCTTTGAATATCAAAATAACACCTCTTATTGGAAAACCCTTTAGATCACCCTCCTTATAGTTTTCGGGACGATTTTGAGTTACAAGAAGCTGTTTTGGCCCCCTTTAAGGATATACCGAAAGAATAATTTTTTAAAGGGATTGAATTGTTAATTAAAC